GCGAGACGGCATGGGATCCAGCATCCTCGCCGTCCCCTATCCAACGCCCGGAAGAACACCCGCTGGGGTTTTAGTGAGGTAGGTCTTGGGCCCCATGGTTAAACCATTCGTGGCTCGATCAAGGGGAACAAGGAGTCCACATAACCTGCACCCTTATCCGAGAGTGCGCGGTACCATGACGGTTTCCCCAGCGTTACAAAGAAAAAAAAAAAGACAAAGGCGCGCGGTTTCCACTTGCCGTTCCAATGTTAAATTCACAAATCTACGTAGACGATTGCGTTTTCGGAGCCGACAATAAAAATGCAGCTCGTGAGATGCGCAACCAATTAATTGCACTATTAGATAAAGGCGGTTTTCGGCTGCGGAAGTGGGCAAGCAATTGTACCAATTTAGTAGCTGATATCGACCCGTCGGATCACGGTCTCGCTCAGCAAAAATTATTAACCGGAGACGAGCAACTTAAAGTTCTCGGAATGGCATGGAATCCTACGCCGGACGTGTTTTATTTCCACGTGTCTCTCGGCCAGAGCCTCGATAAGACAAAACGCTCGATTCTATCGACAATCGCCCAACTGTTCGATCCGTTAGGCTGGGTGGCACTCGTCATTATCACTGCCAAAATATTTATGCAGCAATTGTGGCTGCTTAAATGCCAATGGGACGACGAGATACCAGCCGATTACCTCTCGCAGTGGCGACATTATCATGAGAGACTCCAGTCTCTCAACCGTCTGGAAATTCCTCGCTGGACGGCGCATGGAGCTAACACGATACATCGCGAACTGCACGGCTTTTCGGACGCTTTGACTAAAGCGTACGCCGCGTCGGTCTATCTTCGCACACTTTCCGCCGACGGGTCCGTCACTATTACGCTTCTCATGGCAAAAGCGAAAGTAGCTCCGCTAAAAACCATAAGCGTGCCGCGCCTCGAACTATCAGCCGCGCTATTGCTCGCTCGACTGCTAAAATTCGTGCAATTGACGCTTAATTTTGCCAATGATTGTTGTTTTTGTGGACAGATTCAACAATCACTTTGACGTGGATTAGTCAATCTCCAGCACGCTGGAAAACTTTTGTCGCAAATCGCGTCTCCGCAGTTCAATCATTACTGCCCTGTGCAAAGTGGCGGTATGTCCCGACCAAAGCTAACCCTGCCGATTGTGCGTCTCGCGGCTTAGCACCCGATGAAATCGAACAGCATCCGCTATGGTGGACCGGGCCATCTTGGCTCTCACAATCGCCTGATCATTGGCCTTCCATGCCGTCCTCCCTCAATCATGCCGATACATCCGTCGAGGAGCGTAATCTTCAATCAATTTGTATCGCCGGTGTCGTGGAACAGTGGGATCTCGCGACTCGCTTTTCGTCCTGGCACACCCTCGTGCGCGTTACTGCTTACGTGCTCCGTTTTGTTAAAGCAGCGCGGCAGCCTAATCGCTTATTGCAACGCGACAACCCTTTATCGGTCGTTCTCGACGCAGACGAAATCCGAGCCGCGAAGCAGTATTGGATCAAAACATTACAAGCCAAAATGTTCCCGGAACAGGCAACGCGCTTAACTAATCAACGCCCAGTATCAAAATCCAGCTCTCTTTCCGGACTCAATTCATATGTCGATGCCACCGGAATTATTCGAGTCGGTGGTCGATTGCGGCATTCCAGCCTTCCCGAAACAAGAAAAACACCCAATCATTTTCCGGTCCCATCCCGTCCTATCGCTTATAATCGATCACCATCACGTGCGAACAATGCACGGGGGTCCTCAACTAACGCTCGCGTCCCTGCGGCAACATACTGGATCCTGCGTGCTCGCACGACAGTCCGCGCGGTACTCTACCGATGTGTTCGCTGTGCTCGCGAAGCCGCTAAAATACCAAACGAACTCATGGGGGATTTACCGGAAACACGTGTCAATTGCGTCCCTCGCGCCTTCATTAATAGCGGCGTCGATTACGTGGGTCCGATCGCCTTACGAACTAACCCCGGCCGCGGGCATAAATCTCACAAGGCATATATCGCGCTTTCATCTGCCTAACGACCAAAGCGATACACCTAGAACTTGTAAGCGATTACTCCTCGGCGACATTTCGCGCGGCCTACCATCGCTTCATTTTGCGACGCGGTTTGCCAAAACACATGTACTCGGATAATGGTACAACATTCCGAGGCGCCGAACGCGAGATGTCAGAGGCGTATTCGCAGGCCATACGTGATCCAAACTTTCTAAACCGATTAAGTAGCGACAATACCTCGTGGCATTTCTTGCCTCCCGCTGCCCCGCACTTCGGCGGGCTTTGGGAAGCCGCGGTGAAGAGCGTTAAATATCATCTAACACGATGCGTGGGAAATCATACTCTGACGTATGAGGAGTTAACCACAGTGCTTTGTCGCATTGAAGCGTGCCTGAATTCTCGCCCGATCGCCGCTTCGTCCAATAATCTGGACGATTATACCGCCTTAACGCCAGGGCACTTTTTGATCGGGACACCTCATATAGCGCTACCTGAGCCGAACGTACTCGAATTAAACGAACAGCAACTGTCCCGATGGCAGGTAACCCAGCGCATCGCCTGCGATATGTGTCGCATTTGTCCTGATCAATACCGTAACCAGATCACACCAGCTATCGATCGACTTGGATCGATTCACTCTCTGCCGCCTAATTACGCGAGCCGTGTCTTTTTCCTTTTTGGAACGAATTGGCGAGCTCTTGCTTCTTTTTTGCTCCCGTGTCCTCTTTGTAATTCGGGATCGAATCTGTCTTGATCCCGAAAAGACTTACGTTTTCTCTTGTGAAAGTGCAAGTTAATTGTGCCAGAACAGTGTCATTAATAAAGAACTTATTGTCATCAATGAACAGGAGAGTTTTCTTTTCCGCGTGTTCCGATATTATTTATTACGCAAGACTTGCCTCTAAGCTCCACATCGTGTTCGCTGCTCTGGGGTCAGTGGAGCGAGCAAATCGCGGAACAGGGCACATTATTATATTTAGTTATTTTTCTTTTTATTTTATTGCACTTAATATTATTATATTGTGATATCTATTGAAAAATGTTATTTTTATAAATATATAAAAATGCGATTTTAGAAAATAAGCGTTTGTTTTATGTATTTATAAAACAAATTGTTTAATTAAAAAAATCACATTTTTATATATTTGTAAAACTAACATTTAACAATACCTATTAAAATAAAATAATAAGTAAAATAAAATAATAAAATAAAATAACTAAAATAGTCAGTCTTTAAATATTACAATATTATAATATAAAATAAAAATTAAACTTTAGTACATTTATATTTATATTTTAAAACTTTTATGTTTTAATATATTAGATACATATTATAGAATTTATAAAAACATTTTTGTTAATTATAGCGTTTAGAGACTTAAGGCACAATTTACACACAGTTAATGATCTCTCAATGTATATCTTTTCTTTTCCATTATATATTGATAAAATTATTTATTAATAAAATATTATTTATTAATAAATTCTATATATCTGTGTAGGATTAAATAAAAGAGTTCATACAGGAAAAAGAAAAAACATTGGCTTGAATGTCAGCGCACTACTCGAAAGTTACCAGAAATTCAACAAACAATGCGCAACAGGGGAATTTAAAATACAAGAAAAGCTACAAAGAAAGCAATTTCCGATGCTGCTACTGCAACATGTTCAAAAATAGATACGACAAGGTTGGCATTATAAAATAACAATGTAATATTTAAAAAATTTAAATTATTTTCTTATTTATGCAATTTTTCTATGTATTTATACTGATATACATTGCTCCAATTTTACCTTTTAAAGATCGATAAATTAAATTAAAGCTACACAAAATGATTTGCAAGACAAAATTCCGCGAAGTAGAGCATCAATATGGCTTTATAGATGATTTGCGACAACAATTGGAAGAAAAGGAGCAAAATTATGGGCAAAATATTGAATCTGTGTTGTTTGAAACATAGTTGGGAAATGAGTAAATAATCTTTATAATTCTTATCGATTATCCAATCATTATATCAAAGATAATTTTATAATAATATCAGGAGACGCGGGGTAGTGTCTCCGGCCATGTTCAAACCCTAAAAGACCTTAAAAGACACTACAAGTCTCCTTATCTGCACCATCAAAGTCCATTTTTTGGGGGTGTAGAACTACTAAAATATAAAAATTTTGAATTGCACGTATATAAACCTGAAAGGCGGCATCGCCACGAGTAATTTGAGCCAAGAAAAAAATAAAATCGGTCAAGCCGTTCTGGAGATACAAGCGGTCAAAAAGTGACGTTTTTCATGAAAAAATGAAGTAACGTCGTCGTCTTCTTCTTCTTCTTCTTCTCTGTCCGCGTATAAATCTCTTCTCACCTTTCACAACACTCCCTCAACTTTCCACCCACCCTTTTCCCTCCCACAGCCGCCTCCACCCCACCCTTACACCCACCCCCACCCACTTCCACCACCACTCCCCCCCTCTTTCGCCTCTTCACCCTCTTTCGTCCTCTCTCACATCTTTCGTCCTCTCACCATCTTTACCCTCTTTCGCCTCTCTCACCCTCTTTCGTCTTCTTTCACTCTCTTTCATCTCTCGAACCCTCTTTCATCCATCTCAAACAACCCTTTCGTCCTCTTTCAACCTCTTTCGCCATCTTCACCTTCGGGCCGGGAGGCGGGCACCCTATTTAGTCCTACACAAACTGGGTGAGACAGCGAAAAAGCCCTCAACACCCTCTTTCGTCCTATTGCACCTCTTTCATTACCTCTCACCCTCTTTCGTCCTCTTTCACCCTCTTCGTCCTCTTCACCCTCTTCATTATCTCTCACCCTCTTCGTACTCTCCTCACCCTATTTCATTCTCTCTCACCTCTTTCACCCTGTTCGTCTTTTTTCACCCTCTTTCATTCCCTCTCACCCGCTTTTCGTCCTCTTCACCCTCTTTCGTCTCTTTCACTTCTTTCACGTACCTTCTCTCACCCTCTTTCATTCTTTCTCACCCTTCTTTACCCTCTTTCGTCATCTTTCACTTTCTTTCACTATCTCTTTTCGTCCTCTCTCACCCTCTTCATTCTTTATCACCCTCTTTCGCCCTCTCTCATCCTCTTTCGACATCTTTCAAATCTTTCGTCCTCTATCACCCTCCTTTCGTCCTCTTTCACCCTCTTCGTTCTCTCTCACCCTCTTTCGACCTCTTTCGTCCTCTTTCACCCTCTTTCGTCCTCTCTCACCCCTCTCTACCTCTTTCACCCTCGTACGTCCTTTTCTCACCCTCTTCGTTCTCTTTCACCCTCTTTCGCCTATCTCGTCTTCTCTTACCCTCATTCGTCCTCTCTCACCCTATCTCCAAAAAATCATAAAAATGAAAAGGTCAAGCCATGTTCAAAAGAAGGTCCTCAAAAATTTAAACCAGTCTGTACAATGAAAAATAATTACTCGTAATTCCAGAGTTCCAATTTGTTAATATCGAATAATGTATTTGTTTCAAGTAATGGCAGTAGTAGAGTCAAATACATACCTACGTATATGCAGTTTTTGCTGTTAATTGTACTTGAACGAAAAAAAAAATTAAATGATTTAAATATAGCACATTTTAAATCAAAAAAAACTATATAATCGAACTCTGTTTAGGAAAAGGTAGAACATTTCATTTGCCTCTGCCTTTACAAGAAACATTGGATAAGGTATGTCCTCCGGAAGATCCTATAAATTTGAATCACGAGTTGCACATTCTCGTTCGAGGTATACCCAAGAAATCTAAAGTGGTTTGGGAAAATTTGTAGATATTAATAAAATGTATAAGGCTTTACAATGGTTGAAAGAAAATAATTTTCATTACTCAAAAATTCGTCTTCCAGCGTCATCTGATGATCTATTAAAGGATAAGTTGCAGGAAACAGAACATAGGATTGTCGATGAGGAAAGCGACAATGACGAAATAAATGAGGTGGTTGAGGAATTACCAGCATTGAATTTGTACAATGTACAGCAAAACAAAAATAATAATGATCAAACCGTTTTAAAAACGTACGGCTTTTC